AGCAGTTTGCTGTGTAACGTGGAGAACTGCTATTAAAGTTAAAAATGTTATGGAAGCTCCATTGGTTCACAGAACTAGGTAATGTTACTTTGGATCCTGCCTAACATCTTGATAGGGTCAGTTTTATTTTACTGTGGATGGTTTCTTTTCTGCATGTCTTGATTAAAACAATAATCTTAAAAAATTAGATATGTCATTGCCAGCAGTCCATAGCATTATAGCTAGTGGGTAGTATGCAAACATTTCCAATATTTACGTTCAAAAGATTGTTTATTTTCTCACCAGTTCCTTTATATAATAGAAACAGCTAATGTTTTTAGTTTACTTGATTACTCAAGGAAGTCAGTTCCAGTTTGAAATTGTTTTAATAGTTGGAACATTTAAAAAGCATTTTCACACTAAATTTGTTCTGCTTGTTATGCCCCCAGAAAAGCTCCAGTGTGAAAATACACATTGCTGCAGGGAGAAAAATGATCTACTAAAATTTTTAATGGCTCCTCTAATGTTTCAGTGTTTGACAGAAGAAAAAAAATATCAAAACAAGAATTGTTCCCTGTTTCTGTTACCTATTATTAATGTTTGAGGAATAGTTCTACAACTTTATTTAAAGTACAAAGCTTGTCTGTAGTTACTATTCTGTAAAGCGTGTAGGGCAGAGAACTCACAGGAGATTCTAGAATAATACACTGAGCTGCCTAACATGGTAAGAAGGAGCATGTTAGCAGCTTCTCTATATTCCCACCACTAATTCTGAATTAAGTTCTAAAAGTATGGCAGATCTTGTAGGGGGCAAAAAGTTTATGCATGCACTTTTTTTCTTTCAGATGAAGAAAAAAGAATGGTTGAAGAAGTGTTTAACAATGCAATAGACTGTTTGTCTGATGAAGACAAAAAACTTCCTCAGGTAAGTATTTAAGCTAATAAAGATGCTGATCTGGTTTGCACCTCATGTTAAACCACAATGGGCCATAGCAATAGCATAATAACTGGCCTGTCAGTTTTCTCTTATGGGTTGTTTAGGGTGGCTTCTTAGCATGGCTTGTCATGATGTCTGAACCTGGCAGTGTCACTTCTGCACGGGTTATTTAAAAAGAAGTGAGAGTTGCCTGACAAGAACAGTAACACAAATTCTGGCTAAAAATATCCTATCTTTACTGCATCTAGAAATGACATCTTTTTACTCCAGTTTGTCACCTCTTTAGACACTAGCACTTTTTTCCTTTAACCTTTGGAGAAATCTGTGCATATTTAACTTTTTTTAAACCTCCAGGTAGATTTGTTCAATAAAAAAACCTTTTGGGATATTTGTGCAAATTTCCTTTCAGATGAAAGAACGTTAATTATGTGGCAAAATGATTTAAATTTGTGCAAATCTCCCAGAGGGTGAAGGGAAAAACCCTACAGAGAGCCCCCTACTCTGCTAATGAGTGCAAATATGCTCATTAATAGAATAGGCTGCTTAGTTGCAAAAACCCATGTGATTCTTGATGGGAGTGGGCTGGAGAACTAAGAAGGAAACAAGCCACAGCAAGCTGCAGAACACCTGATCATCTATTGGATGTAACATGGATTAATGAGTGAACAGCCAACCTACTGAAGCTTTTTTCAGGGTGACTTATTATTGCATTTGAACCAGCCCCATGCATACTAAGAGAGATGGGCAGAAGGTTAGTAGAGATTTACTCTTGGCTGTTTGGGTGGTATGGAGTTGATCAATAGTTTCTGATATATCTTTGCTTGACTGTAGTAACACTAATAGGGCTCTTCTTCCCCTGAAAACTGGTGGAAAATGGGAAAAAACAGAAGTATATTTTGATGTGAAACAACTGTGAAGTTCTTGTTATTGAAAACAAAAAGGCAATCTGTTCCTTAATTCTCACCTTTTCCCTTCTTTTGTACCTGACTTTGAATGGTGGATTTGGCATTGAAGTAAAAATGGTGTACATCCTGCAACTTTGAAGTCTGCTCAGCCTGGTGTACAATGCAAGTCTTACTTGCATGTTACCACACAGCCATGAAATTACCAAATAGTGTTATTTACGTACCTATTTACTCTGCATTAGGCTATCAAATATAGAGTATTGGGTACTCTATTACATACTCCACAGCCATCTCAACTGCATGTGCTATGTGGAAATAAATCGATATTAGGTGAAACTGAGGCATGAAATTTGACAGGGAAAGTATGTGTCAAAGCACCAGTTCTATGCTTAAAGTACTTTGGATTTCAGCACCCAACTGTGTTCTTCCCCAGTGATATGCTTTTTGATCCAACAGATTATTCTGCGAGTAGAAGGGAGGTGATTTTCACACACTTTTCCCTCAGTCTTCTCTCACCACCTCCCTTTGGAGTAGAAGGGGAAAGAGAATCAGCAAAAATTGCTTTTTCTGTCTTTTGTTTATGGAAGCATTTGCTAGATTAAAGGGCCTTGGAACAGAAGGACTCAGTTGAATTCAATTCAATGTAATATTTCCTTCTAGTAGGTCAGAGTTGTAGAATACTGCCATATGGCAGTTGGATGCATAGCAAAGTTAGGTTTAGCTTGTAAACATTTGTAGCTTCTAAAAATTGGCGTTCATGTATTCTAAGAAGAGGGGATAGAATAAAACTTCAGTAAACTATTGTGCCTTTTGAAGATAGTACATTAAATAACATTTATGTTCAGTAGCCACTAAAAAGTAATAGCTAACATTCACTTTTGTTAAGAAAGCATGACTGTTATTAGAAAAAGCTCTAAACAGCATTGAATGATCAGAATTGAATCCTAAGCTATTTAGACAAAATGATATGATGTCCTGATGACAGTTAAGTTTCCTCCATTGCTTGTTGTACATCAGACTTGCAACAAATTTTGAAACAGTTACTAGTGCATTAAAATTATTAGTTATTCACTGGCCCACATTGACAATTTTTGAACCAACCCTTAAAAGAAAAGATTTATGTAATCTCTGTCAGGTGACCTAGAAAAATGTCCAATGACAGTAGAGCGTATGGTTTCTTACATGTTTGAATCATATGTAATCATGTTTTAGTTATTCATATGTCAATATATGTTCATAGGTTGAGCATGTACTTCCACTTCTGAAGCGTGGCATTGGAATCCACCATGGGGGTTTGCTTCCTATTCTAAAGGAAACCATAGAAATACTTTTCTCTGAAGGACTGATAAAGGTATGCAATAAAAGATATATTGAAAATTGATTTTGCAATGTGATTCTCCTTAAATGTTTATATTTCTAATACTGTAAAGCATAGCATTATAAAAATTAAAGAGCAAATTCTGTGTGTTTGGGCCTTGCTGATAAAAACTTCTTTACAAATGCTTTTTAGAAATGTTATAACTGTGACTTGCTGGGTTTTATGTATAATAATACAATGCAATACAGGTAAGACATTCATCTCAAACAGCTTTGTATCAGATAAATAACACTGCAATGTCCTAGTCAGGAACAAATTCTGACCAAGGGCTAACTCAGTTGGAAAACCTTTTCCAACCTGAGGACTGAATTCAGTTTCAGAAAAAATCTTTAGGGCTTTATTTCACTGGTGGACAGATTCATAGACAAAATGGGTGGGAGTAAAACTGCCATTATATTTTAGTTTAAAGATCTTCTAGTAACATAAGCCTCACTAAAGGCATTTAGGAGACCACACCCACAGCCCCAAAGGCTTGCCTATCTCTATCTTCACCTCTAGTCACTTATCTATATTGTAAAGTAGGATTTTTAACAGTTTAACAGCCTAAGCATTTGGTTATTTTAGTGTGCCTTAACAGATTTCCTCTGAATGTATGTATTGCTGTATTTATTTAGGCCTTATTTGCGACAGAAACTTTTGCTATGGGCATAAATATGCCAGCAAGGACAGTGTTGTTCACAAGTGCTCGAAAGTTTGATGGGAAAGATTTCCGATGGGTAAGTAAATTACAACATGCTGTACACAAACCCTTACAGGAGAAGCACAAAGACTTGACAGATATATGAGGTCATCTGCAATAATGTATGATTGCAACCAACAGTTTAGCTACCATTTAGCACATTCAGCTTAACTATGTAATTTCCATTGTTGCTGACTCAAAAGGCAATGGTTCTAACCATTTTACTTTTTATCTCTTCTTTTATGTACCTTCATTGACTTTGTCTCATCAGTTTTGCAAATCAAGGGCCATTTTTGTTTTGTGCTTTGTGCTTTCTCTTCTGTTGTTTCCTTTCACCTGTACTTCCCTCCCTTCTAAAATATTAACAGCCCAGTCACTTTCTGGATTCAGAGTGCTTTCCAAGTATATTCCTGCATTCACAAAGTACTTTCTCACTTATCTAGCAAATTTCCACTTGTAGTTCCCATTTCATTTTTGTTTGTCTTAGGGTTGGACTGAGAGCCTGCTGGAAAGGCCTGTGTTGAGTTCTTCCTGCTTTTTTTTATGCAAAAAGTGTTGTGTACAAAAATGGAAATGTGATAGAGGAAATGGTAAAAACATTATTTGATTTCTGTACCACCCAGTTAGTCAAAACTGCTCTCTGGGCAGTTTAGAAAATCAAAATAAATGACAAATGTAATATCCATAAACAAAGAAGTAACAATTAAAATTAAACATAAACAATACACAAGAATAAAATGACAGCAATAAGCTCATGAATAAGCCCACAACAGTTGCACTCAAATTGGTTCGAGGTTACAGCAGCATATTACAAGATAGTAATATGATATTAGAAACATAGAAACAGAGCGAGTCAGAAGGGGCCTCCCAGGCCATCTAGTCTGACCTCCGGCACCAGCCGGCTCCGCTCACGACATGCCCACCATGTGCATGTCCAGCTTATCTTTGAACACCCTCACCGATGGGGCCTCAACGACCTCTCGTGGAAGCCCATTGCATACCCTTGGGGTCCTAACTGTCAGGAAGTGCTTCCTGGCATCTAAATGGAACCTTGGTTCCCTTAGCTTTGCTCCGTTGGGAGCACATCCTGCCTTCCTCTACAGGGGAGAACAGGTCTCTACCCATCTCCGTGTGACATCCCCTCACATACCTGTATGTAGCCAACATATCCCCTCTGAGTCTCCTCTTCTCCAGGCTGAAGAGACCCAGTTCCCTCAGTCTCACCTCATACCCCATCCCCTGCAAACTGGCCATCAACCTTGTGGCCCTATGCTGCACTGACTCTAACCTGGCTATATCCTTTCTGTAATGAGGGGCCCAAAACTGAGCACAATACTCCAGTTGCAGGCACACCAGAGTCATATAGAGTGGTAGTAATACCTTTCTTTATCTAGAAGCCACACTTCTGGCTATGCAACCAAGGGTGGCATTCATCACACTGTTGACTTATGTTTAGCCTGCAGTCAACCAGTACCCCGAGGTCCCTTTCACAAGTGCTGCTCTCCAGCCACTTGTCACCTAACCTGTACTTATGACACCTATTCCTATGACCCAAGTGCAAGACCTTGCACTTATCCACATTGAACGCCATCCTGTTGTCTCCTGCCCACTTCCATAGTCTGTCCAGATCCTTTTGGATCTGGAGTACCTGCTCCTCAGTTGTGGCCACTGCTCCAGTTTTAGTGTCGTCTGCGAATTTGATCAGCAGACTGTTCACCCCTTTTTCCATGTCATTGATGAAAAGATTAAACAGGATTGGCCCCAGGACAGAGCCCTGGGGGACCCCACTTGTCACTGGCCACCATCCCGATGATTCCCCACTAATGGTTACCTTCTACTTTCGGTCAGTCAACCATGCCCTAATCCACTGGACAGTGCTTTGGTGTATCCCAAAACTCCTCAGTTTCTCAACCAGGATATCATGGGGCACTTTGTCAAAGGCCTTGCTGAAATCCAGGCATACCACATCCACTGCATCCCCTCCATCTAGCCATCTCGAAACCTTGTCATAGAATTCCACAAGGTTTGTCTGGCAGGACCTGTTTTTGCGGAAACCGTGTTCTGTGACAGTGAGCCTCCCTTCCCTATCTAGCATCACTAGATCACTCTCTATTATTAGCCTTTCCATTGTTTTTCCTACAATGGACGTAAGGCTAACAGGTCTATAATTCCCCATGTCCCTTCTACTACTCTTTTTCAAAATTGGGACCACCCTCCAGTCCTCTGGAACTTCACCCGTTCTCCATGAGGCCTCAAAAATGGAGGCCAGCGGGCGTGAGAGAACCCCTGCCAACTCTCTAAGTACTCTTGGGTGTAACCCGTCAGGACTTGGCACCTTTGTAATGCCCAATGCCCTGAGGAGCCCCTCGACTTCAAGGGGGGTGACTCTAATCTGTTCCCCGAAGTCCCTAGCCTCATCTAATCTCCTATGCGGATATCCTCCGCCCTGCTTTGAGGAGAACACAGAGGCAAAATAGTCATTTAGCATCTGTGCCTATTCCCTCATATCAGTCACTGGATCTCCTTCCTCCTTATTTAGTGGTCCCACCACTTGTCTCCCCTTCCTCTTCCTATCTATATGCTGAAAGAAGCCCTTTTTGTTGCTCTTGATATTCTTGGCAAGTCTCAGCTCGTAATCAGCCTTAGCCTTGCGAAGAATCCTTCTGCAATGGGCCTCCTTCTCCCAGTATACCCTTTTGTCTATTTCCCCCAGTACCCATTTCCTACGGAGGTTCCTCTTTCATCTAATCCCTCTAACCAGCTCCTTTCGCATCTTCCGCCTTCCAACGTTACTAACTAAGAGGTTTCGTCAAGGCTTGTGCCTCCAAAACCTCCCTTTTGAGTGCCATCCACCCCTCCTCAACTTGCTTGCCTTCCAGTAACCTATCCCAGGAGACTTTTCCCAGTCTGGCCTTCAGTTGGCCAAAGTTGGCCTTCTTGATGTCCCAGCTTCTAGTGCTCAACCCGCTGCATGTCCTCAATTCCCTGATTTCAAAGCAAAGGATGGAGTGATCACTCACATCCAGAGCTCCCCTAATCTGTACTTCAATTATCAACTCTTCTCTATTGGTCAAGACCAAGTCAAGGATGTTCCCCCCCCCCTTCACCTCTCAGACCCTCTGTGTGAAAAACCCTCCCTCTATAGCTTCTAGAAAGTGACGTGACCTGGCTGTCACCACCGAGTGAGTCTCCCAAATAATATCCGGGAGATTGAAATCTCCCATAATTACTGTGTCTCTCCCCCGAGATATCCTTAGAATCTGGTCTGTCAGGTCATCATCCAGGGTCTCAAGTTGACCTGGAGGGCGATAACATTCCCCCCACTGTCAGGTCTCTTTCCCTGTCAAAACCCCTAACTTTCACCCAGACTGCCTCTACCGAATCCCCATCTGTGCTGCATTCTATCTCACTGCATCCTATCCCTTCCCTGACATATAAAGCCATGCCCCCACCCCTCTTTCCCTTCCTGTCCTTTCCAAAAAGGTGATACCCCTCTATGTTCACATTCCAGACTGCCTTTCATCCCACCAAGTTTCTGTGGTTCCCACCAGGTCATACCCTCCTATTCCCAGGAGAGCTTCAAGGTCATCCTGCTTATTACCCATGCTCCTAGCATTGGTGTACATAGACCTCAACTCTTCACCGCTTCCTTTCCTTGGAGGAAAGTAATGTGATAGTATGATAGTAATATGCAATATAGTTAAAAGATTAAAATAGCTAACTATTAAAATATTGGCTAAATAAAAAGGCTTTTCCCTGGTGCTGAAAAGAAGAAAGGGTGGACACCAGGCACACCTCCTTGGGGAGTTAATTCCAAAGTTGGAATGCCACTGCCAAAAAGTCTCCTCCTAGTATTCACTCTTTATCTCCTTTCAGAATGGCTCTCTGAGGTCCAGGTAGGCATATATGGGAAGTGGTATTCCTTTAGATAACCTGGCTCCAAGCCATTTAAAGCCCTAAATAGTAATGGAAGCTCTCTGAATTGGGCCCAGACTTCAATAGGTAACCAATGATGTTGGAAGAATACTGGCATAATATGTTCGTATTGGCCAGTCCCTATCAGTTGTCTTTCCATCCTATTCTGAATCAGCTGAAGTTTCTGGACCATCTTCAAGGGCAGCTCCATGTAGAGTGCATTACAGTAGTCCAAATGAGAGGTTACCGGAGTCTGGATCACTGTTGCTAGACACTTCCTTGTCCAGGTAGGGTCACAGTTGATGAATCAGCCTGAGCTGATAGAAGGTGGTCCAGGTGACTGAGTTAACCTGTGAATCCAGTGACAGCTGGGATCCAGGACCAGTTTGCATCCCCAAACTGCAAACCCTGTCCTTTGGGTTTGCAGGACAGGTTTAACATCTCTCAACTGGACAGGTAACCCACAACCCCTACTCCCCACCAGCAGCACCTTCAACTTATTTGGATTACGTGTAATTTTTTTGGCCCTCATCCAGTCTCAGACACTGGGTCAGAATGGCCACTGCCTCGCCTGGCTTAGATGAGAAACAGGCGGAGCTAAATGTCATCAGCATATTGATGACATCTTAATTCATAACCTTCAGAAAACCTCCCCCAGTGATTTAACAGTGGATGTTAAATAGCACTGGGGATAAAATAGGGCAGTACCCCATGGCATGTCATGGAACAGAGCATTAATCCCCCAGCATCACCCCTTTGAATCAGCTGGTCAGGTAGGCATGGAACCACTGCAAAGTAGTGCCTGCATCTCCCATCCCAGCCAGCCTATCCAGAAGGATCCCATGGTTGATGGTACCAAAAGCTGCTGAGAGGTTCATTACTTTTCTAATTTTATCATGCTTTCAGATTACTTCTGGTGAATATATCCAGATGTCTGGTCGTGCTGGGCGTCGAGGCATGGATGATAGAGGAATAGTTATTCTTATGGTGGATGAGAAGATGAGTCCAACAGTTGGAAAACAGCTTCTAAAGGTATCTTGATGTCTGTCTAGAACTTTTCTGAAATATATGCATAACATAATGTGGCACGGCTCATAAATGTTAGTTTTTATTCATCAGTTGGTATTGCAGCAATTTTTATGCTTTTATTTGGCATTACACTTGTGCAGGATTACATTGTTTTGCACACAGGACTGGTAAATACACTTCATAACCTATAATCTTTAAGTCAGGAACAGTTTAGTACTTAATTTTTCTCATTGGTGACATTCAGTGTTTGATACCAACTGCCAAGAGTTAATAAACAACTCTTGATTGTTATATAAACTGGGAAGAACATGCTTGTAGAGTATGTACCAAGAGCTCCAGACTGAGAGAAAAAAAAATGAGTATCAGACACCCTAATAATATCCTCTGCCATATATAGTAGTAAATTCACCCATTCGTTGCATTTCTGCACTGTCCAATAGCCAAAGCTGTTTGGGCAATTTACAAAGATTAAAAACTAAAAATCGTACAGTACATAACTGTTTACATACAAACATATAATAGTCAACACATTTCCTTCCTATAGCTGTATCTACATCTGTCGTTGTAATCAACAATTAAAAAATCCAGGACCTGAATAGAAATATTGTATATTAAGACTTAGAATTATTTGGCACACTTTGTGGGCAGTGTTGTGAGTGTTCATCTCTGTGTGGAGATGGGCAATTGCGTTCTAGTTGAGAAAAGGGAGTGCAGTGAACAAAGGAGAATGTTAATTTATTCTGATAGTACCTGTAGACATACTGCAATTTAATTACTACCATCTTAACATCATTGTCCTTTCAAAGCACACGGCCAGGCATAAGGCAGAACTAAACATCAGTCTCTATTAACCATTTCCCATATACTTATCTTTTATCATGGTATCATTTGCACTGTCCATTTTCCCACCAGTGGCAACAACTTTGCAGAGGTTAAACACAGCATGAAGCTATGCGATGGAATAACTTGTAGCTCATGCTTTAGAGCAGGAGAAACACACACTGACTTGCCTTTTGATGGCAGAGCCTGTTGCAATAGCCCTATTTTGAACCTGCAAAAAAAAAAAAAGGAGAAAAGGGCAGCTTCTTGGCTTCTTGGATATTGAGAGATATCAGAAAGCTCCACTAGCCTTTATGTAATAGTTCATACTTACATATGTTTGAACCACTCATTGGAACCTGGAGTCATGATAGTTGAAAAATGTCTCCTGCCCTCTGAAAATATGAGAGCTGCATCTAAATGTTCAGTGAAGGAAGTACACAGGTGTATGGCAGTGAATGTAATCCAAATTTAATTGAAGTGTTTTAAATAAATGCAGTATATGTGTTCTTGTATATACCAGTTTAGACAGTACAATATTAAGTACTATTCTATATACAACAAACATCTATTATAAGCATTAGCTGTAGCTAATATATTCTTTATCTAAGAAAGAGCAGTGTTAATCTTACTTTCAGGAAAGGTAAAAAAAAAATTTTAATGGTGCCGAATTGCTATTATGAACATGCAGCCTTAAGTCTCAAAGCATTTGGCAGAGCTATAGAAGACTGTGGTATCTTTCCATTATGCCTCTTATAGGCTGGAAGCCAAAGGAGCCTGTGCATACATGCAAACCGCTTCTGTGAAGAATGGGGGAGGTTGCTTTCTGGTATACTGCGGTTCTCTGTGCTGCATTGAATGTTTCTCCAGATAGTCTCCCAGCCTTGAAAACTGACTTTTCAGGGACTCAGAGGGGCTACATTGGGATGAGTGATCTCAAAAAACTCCAGTGTAGATGACAGAACAGTGTTTACAGTCCTTCGATCTCAACAACAATTTGTAAATCTTTCCATGAGCTTTTGCAGGCTTTCATTTGTAACAACCTAGTTCAGATGTAAACTGATACAGCTGGGAACATAATTATCATGAATATTCTTCTTTATAATCTGTTGAAGCTTGTGAGAGTTTGGCATGATTATATGCTCTGTTTGGTTCTCAACTTGAGGTGCACTTACTACACAACTTTATAACAGAAACTTCCATGGTTGTCCTCATGAAGCATGCTATGAAGGATTTGCAATGAAAGCATCACTGTAAGCATGTTCCTATTCCTGCATGTTTTACTGTCCTTCCTAGAAGTAGAACCTATATTTTACATTATTTACCCCTAAAGCTAATTTTGTGTTAGAAGTCATCATCTGACCTCACTGTTTATTACAAGACAGAGATACCAGCTTTAAAATAAGCTGTTGGAGTGGAATCTGTCCAGCAGTGTAGAGTCCATGTATAAACATCAACTGAACACGCAGACTTAATTGCAGGCTTGTCTGGTTTTACATCAAGCTCATTCGCATATGTTTCCAAGAATCTACATGTGTGGGCAGGCTTTGAAAAACGTAACAGAATCTTGGTTTATCTAAGGATGAAACCTAACAGTCAGAGCTTGACATGGATAACTTCTCAAGAGGTTTATCAAAACAGTCTAGCAGTGATCCACTTGTTCATTGCTTTGTAGGGGCTGAGGATACTTGAAATACCTTTTCTTTAAAACTGCTTTAAATTCTTTCTTCTAGGTAGGTTACTTTTACATTATTATTTAAATTTATCAGGCAGGATGTTGTGAATATATTGCTTCTGGAGTGCAAAGTACTGAGTTGCATATCACTCCATATGCTAATGTGGAAATTTCAGACCAGTATACAATAAAATATAAAACAGATAAACGAATAAAACAATGTGTTAAAAATAAAAGACATAATACAGCCATGGCTGGTTAGTTCAGGAAGGATTCCTGAAATAAAAGTATTTTCAGAAGGTGCCAAAATCAGTACATTGTTGGTGCCTGCTTGTCCTCCAGAGGACATTCCAAAGAAATCAAGCCACAACAATTAAGGCTCCCCTATGGATGGACTCCAGTAAGGTCATGAGTCCATGTGGGACCAGCAAGAGCATTCCATCCAATAATATTGGTGACCAAATAGGTTGGTAATGCAGGGGTGCTCTCTCAGGTATCCTGGTTCAAAATTACTACTACTTATTGTAGTAATCCAGTCTTTAGGTTACTAGTGGCTGTACCACTTTGGGCAAGCTACTTCTGTCCAGTGGAGGTTGTAGCTCTTTGAACCTTTCAAAGTTGATAAAGAGTCCTCTGAGCTGCATCAATCACTCTGGACTTCAGCAACAACAAGGGATCTAGGGGTATGCCCAGACTACCAGCCTGATCTTTCAAAGGGAGTGGAAAGGCAATGAGCTTATCTTCAGGACTCAGGGCTTATTGACCTTTTGGCTCATCACAGAGTCTAGACATTGATCTAGCCTTTCCACTCCCTTTGATAGTCTAGACTTTGACTTGTGCAGCCTTACCTGATTTTGATGTCATGGGAAGATAGTTAGTTAGTTAGTTAGAATATTTATATGCTGTCCTGTTGCAAAGGCCTCGGGACAGCTTACATAGATAAAATAATATAAAACATAACACAAATGAATTACAGACCCACACTGGCTGCAGTTAAAAACATATAAGAACCAATATTAAAAGTTATTAAAATATTGCTGGAATAAAAAGGTCTTAACCTGGCACTGAAAAATAAATAACCATGGCGCCAGGCGGACCTCTCTGGGGAGCACATTCCATAGGTGGGGCGCCACCGCAGAGAAAGCCCTCCTCCAGGTACTTTGCCTCCTAATATCTTTCACGGAGGGTTCCTAGAGGAGGACCTCTGCTGCCGATCTCAGGGGGCAGGAGGGCAAATATGGAAGAAGGCGTTCCTTTAGGTATCCAGGTCCCAAGCCGTTAAGGGCTTTATAGGTAATAACCAGCACCTTGAATTGAGCCCGGACTTCGATGGGAAGCCAGTGAAGCTGATAGAGGACTGGGCGTTATTCTCATA